TGAAGTCATTAAATGTTACATCTCAGTTCTAAACAATAGTCTGCTGATATAAAGATAATGACCAGGCTCCTCTTTTTTTCTCTCTTCTTTGATAAAGCACCAGGCTCAGTTATTGCCACCAGAGGAGGTAAATAACTGCATACTATTTATTTAAGACGGGTTTTACTGTATTTATACTGTGGGCCATCTCTGTTGCTGTTGCATTTAAAGTACCCTTTCTTCTTCTCTGCATTGTTCCTGCTTTCTCTCCTTACACTTTGTCTTTTGTAAGAAAGACACAAGCCATGTGCTCAGAAGAACCATCTTGCACATTCATTTAATTAAATAATTCATTATTGTTTAATTAAATATGAAATCATTTAAATAAATTAAATAATTCAATTTATTTCAATACATTAAATAATCATTATAGTAATAATAATAATATATTTGATTTACATCTACTAACCCTGACTTGATGTATATTTAATTCTCACTTCAGGATATTTTTTCAGAGCTTTATTTTTTTCAGACATTAATTAATATGCAAAAGAATGTTCTATACCAGGGATTCTCAACTCTGGCCTTTAAGGTCCAGTTTCCTGCAGAGTTTAGCTCCAACCGTAATCTAGCTCACCAGTTTATAATTTTCTAGTAATCCTAAACATAGACTTATAAATACATAGACGCCTCATTGGCCCATTTGGCCCTTTGCTGTGATACGTCCGCCATATTGGACCGGGCAAGACTGCTCTATAAACAAAAAAGGTATGGCCTCCAATTAGTAAGAATCTCGGTAGTTAGACCTTAAAAGTATTCATTGTCATAAGGAATTGTGAAAACTCTTGCTTGTCAAGCATAGGTTTTTTTTTTGTTTTGTTTTTTGTTTTTTCTGGTTAATTGTGAAGTCGTCCCTAATGCAATATAATTGAATGTACATGAAATGTGCATAAAGTTTTTCATTGTGGAAATTGCTTTTTCTGTCTTCAACACCATCATTTTAGCTATTTGTCTTGCAACCTCAGTTAACAACACAGCTTGTTTACTTTTAATCACTGAACAAATTACTGACAAATTCACATAAAATTATGTAAAAAAAATGTGAGTATCCTAGAAAACATAGTCTGTTGCGGTTTAAGTGAACGTAAACAGTAGAGAAAGACAAGGCATGTGTACATGCAGTAAATTGGATTCGACATTTATTATGGTGATGTGAGGATTGTTTTAAGTTCACGTAAATTAAAAGTTTTTTTGAAGCCTAATAAATGTTTTAAAAAAACTGTTAGCTTTCGATTACACTGTAATGTCGAATAGCTATACTTAATGTTAAAAAAATCATTTTTATCGAGACATCAGTAGCAGTATTAGTATCAGCCTTCATTCATTTGGAGATTAACTGTGAAATTACTACATTATAAAATATATTAAAAACGTGTGTTTGCTTGCTTGTTTGTTTTTAGCATTATTTATTAACACAGACTAATGGTAATTAAATTAGTCCTATATGCTTAGTTTTATGTGATTTTATTTTGTTGTGATAGCTATTATGTCATTGATGTTAATTCATTTAAATCTTATTTAGTTCAGTTAATTTATTCTTAAGTTACCCATCATGCATATGTTTGTACAGTACCGTAGTAACAGGAGTTTCTGTCTCTTTGCAGGTGGTTCAAACGAATAAATCAGCCTCTGTGCCATCTTACGCCACCAGACCGCCACCACCACCATTTGCACGGTAATAATACAGAACAATACCGTTCAAAAGTTTGGGTCAGCAAATTTTTAAAAGAAATTAATACGTTTATTTATTCAGTAGGGATACATTAAATTGACAGTAAAGACATTCAGAATCTCACAAAATATTTCTATTTCAAATAAATGTTGTTCTTTTGAACTTTCTACTCCTCAAAGAATCCTGAAAAAACATTAAGTAATTAAGTTAAATATTAAGCCGAACAACTGTTTTTAACATTAATAAGAAAAAAAATATTGAGCAGCAAATCAGCATATTAGTAATGCCTGCTAAATATTAATCTTTGCCATCACAGAAACAAATCACATCGTTAAATAAATACAAATAGTTGTTTTAAATTGTAATAATATTTCACAATATTGCTTTTTTACTAAATTTATCATCAAATAAATACAGCCTTGATGAGCTTAAGAGACTTTTTTTGAAAACCAAAAAATCTTACTGACCCCGAACTTTTGAATGGAAGTCTAATGCATTCCAAAACATAGTGAGCTGCCTACTTAGACCGCTGTCTTTTAAAGCAGCATTCGATGGATCCTCATAAGTGGCTGATTTGTATGTTCTACACATGCAGCAACATTTTGAAAGCATAATATGTTCATAAATCCAGTTTTTAGAGAGCTAATTTCTGACCCTCACCTACCCTCTGTCCACTCTCCACAGACCACCTGCTCCTACCCAACAACTAATGCCTCAAAGACCAGCGCCTGCACCCCCAGTATAACACACAACACACAGACTGACAGTTGTATTTCTGTCTGGGATGGACAGGCCAAGTGTGAAATGTGCAGTGGGAGGGGTCAAGGAGGAATCAGCTGGTTGCTCCCCCACTTATTAGGGCCCGAGCACTGATGGTGTGAGGACCCTATTTCTCCCCTGTCCTTCTGAAAACAGCTGTCAACTGTCAATCAAACTGAGAGACAGTCAATGTTGTGAAAGGAACCTCTACTCGCAATACATCACAGAGTACATGATGGGAGTGAGAGAACTATTTAGCCAATTAAATGCTTCCCACCTGTCACGTGACAAAAGATGCCTATGACAACAGACCGATTTCCTTAAATGTTACGATTCTTATGTGCTATATAGGACCACTGCGACTTATTGCACTTCAGTAATATTCACTGTTAATAGGAATGTACAGAGACCCTTTTATTATAGGCTGGCTTTCCTCCCCCTCCACTTTTTGGTGCAAAATGTATTCTGTACACCACAGTCAATCATTGCTCCAAAAAATGTGTTATAATATGTTAAGGACAAGGACAAATGCGATAATTTAGTTAAATAGGCATCCCTAACATTTTACAAGGTTATCAAGTCATTAGTATTATCTAAATGGCCCGTGGTAACTGCAAATCATTCTCTTTGCACTGTGATGCATAATATTCATATTATAAATAATTTAGGTTTTGCAATACTGGAGTGCAAGACAAGAAACAAAATACATAAAGTAATTTTGTTCTTTTTATCATTTGAAATTGTTGCTACCAACACAGTGATTTAAAACTACTATTTTACCATTTATATATAGTTTTATTTGCATACTTTTATTTATATGTAACTTTTATAGAAAATCTATTTTTTACTTTATTTGCCAAGTGAAATTCTGTCCGCAATGAGGCAAAAATCAGGTAAACATGAATACTTGTTTTTGAAAATGGCTAATTCCTAAAACTTCATGATTGACTGTTTTTTTTTTTTTTTTTTTTTTTTTTTGTAGTGGTTAACATAATTTTTTTTTTTTTTGCAAAATACAAACAACAGTAACAATGAAAACAAAGTCAAAGCTTTTCTCCTATCATTTTTAAGGGCTACATGACTTTATGCATGATAACACACTATGCGATACATTTACATATTTCTTCCTTTATGAAACTGATCAAAAAGAACGAAAAGACAATTTTGTCTGCATGTTTCATAGACTTCTTTCTTTGTGATGACCGTAATACCACATGGGGTACAGTATGTGTATAAAGTCATGCACACGCAAACAAACACACAAACAACTGAAACATATCTGTTGTAGACCACATTTAGGCAGTATCCTCACACTAGGATATTTCCATCATAGCAAAATCATTAAGTGCCATACATTTCATGTCTGATAAGTGTTATTTTACATGTGTATGATTAACTGAATGAATGATGGACACAACAACCCGCCCCTCACACACTGCATTTCCATTCGAAGCAGTTGTGGATTGTTGATGTTTTATGGATAAAAGATGGACTACACTTATTTTGGACTACCTACAGTGTAATGTGGATGATGGTTTTTGCATATGAAAATAAAAAAAACACTGGTTTGTTTTTAATGATGATGTGAGGTGCATTTTAAACACAAGTTGCAAAGCATTCTTTTCGGTGAATCAGTGTCATGAACAACTCGGCCCAGGTAATTGAAAATGTATGATGTAAATGTAAGCCAATTGCTATTGATCTTTAAAAAATTGTAGTCGTGAATGCTGGTGGTACCATTTAGCAGAAAATACTACTTATTTTCAGTGTTATTTTAGTATTTGTATAAATGATTCTAGTATTTTGTAATGTTTTGAATTAGCTTTTAATTTTTTCAGTTCTTTTTTCATTTTAGTTTGTTTTTAGCAATTTTGTTCTGAATTTGTCGTTTTTATCGTTTATATTTCTATTTTTCTTTAATTTATTTATAGTTTTTGTCATTTTAGTACTTCAACTTCAACTTATTTCAGTTATGTGCCTAGGCAACATTTCAGATTTTTAAGTTTACATTTTTATCTAATAGCTTTTTTTTTATGTCAGCTTTATTTCAATTAAATTATTTCATTTTGCTGATTTATGAAAACGCCAAGGAGCTCTAAAAGACAGAGAGAAAAGACGTGTGCGACAAAACTATATTTCCCACAAATCTCTTACGCACGAGAATCCTTTGCTCATTAACTATGTATTTAGGACAAAATGTTTCCTGTACAAATGAAATTTGAAATTGTCCATTTTACTCTAACCAAAACCACTTGATCACATCACGTCGGAAGTAGGAACTTAACAGAAGCGCTAGAAAACAGCATTACTTTAACCCTATGACTTTAACAGTTAGCAGCTAAATGGTTTTTTAAAACGCGCTAATGCTTTTCCAGTCAAGAGATGTAAAACATTTTGAGAAATGTAAATTATATTTAGGATTTGCGGATGTCACGTGATGAAAAAAAACGGATTGAAATAATCGATTCTCAGAAATTAGCGCTAAACCTAGAAGTGACGTCCTAAAGCGGCTGACGTTCTTCATGACGGAGCTGCTGTTCTAGGAGTGTCGACTGTCACTCTCGTGAGCAGCGCAGGGGTCAGTTGGAGCCGCTACCAACTCCGGTGCACGACCAGTTTACAACAGCTGTCGGAACAAGTAAGTTTTTTGTTTTGTGTATACACTTCCATCTGCCGTTAAAGGGAGATTTACTGACAGCGTCGGCAAAAACCATACGAAGAGTCGCGTTCCTCATTTCATTTCCTTTAGCATGGCTGCTTGCTCTTGTTTGGTGTGGCACAAAGTTAACTGATATTTGAGGACATAAGTTGGTATTTATGCAGAAGGACACTTAACCATCCAGTTACAGAACTGCGTGCCTTAACCGACCTTAATTAGCTCATTATTGTTGCTAGGTCAAGGTTCTGTGATTTACAAGGGAAATACATAGGGTTTGTGTCTTTCTTCATTAAACAAATACATTAAACAATAAAAAAATTAGCAACCTAGTAATAAGTTTAAATTGCATGATTGAACTCCAAGTATCGTGCCTCCGATTTGATGGTTAGCATGGGCTGCTAATATTTTCATAAGAACCATGTTTAGTGAAAGGACATAATGATTGACACTCCGTGTCTCCAATAGCCTTCCACTAAGCATGACTGGTGGGTGGAGTTAGAAGTCTCCGGCCAATGGCGCTCTGAAACGCCTCAGTAGGCGGGCGTAGTTGAGTGACTCATCAGTGAAGGGGAGTGGAATGTGGATGCAAGGTCAAAACATAGGCGTGTGGAGGGAGAGAAGGGTCCATGTTTATTTCAACCACATGGTCATTAGTTTCATTTTAGCGGAAAAGTACATCGATATCCATTTTTTTTTTTTTAAAGTAGTGTATAGTTCAGTTTATTACAGTAACTAACAACGGATCTGATTTATTTATTATGTAGGAAGGAAAGGCAATGCTTTGTTAAAATGTGAAGAAAAAAACTCTATGCAAAGTTGCATATGGCATATTGTGATGAAAAATATTAAGTTAATGATGCCAGAAATACTAGTCTAGATATAAAGTAAGTAATTTGTTGTGGGGTTCAAGGGATTGCAGCGTAACATGATTTAAATGTTATGTAATGTTTTTTACACATATGGTTTACTTTCTACAATCAAAGTGTGACGTATAAATAACATGCTTTTGCATATTAAATTCCCATGTGATAAATTCTCTTTTTTACCAGCATATAGTTTGTAGTATGTTATGTGGGTGATTAAAATAGACTCACCTTTGACCCCCATTTCTCTGTGTGCATTAGTAAAGATGTTCATTTCTATTTGTAACAAAAGAGGTTAAGTAACAAGCATCAAAAGTTTTTGTAACCTCATTACATCAGTGTTATGTGAGTTAGGCTCCTGTTGATAGGCAAAGCAGCAGTTGGGTGAAAAATAAATTCAAACTTCACTTAATTTTTTCATCATTTGATAAACACTACGTATAGTTATGATTGCTGTGTGCCTTAAAGGATTAGTTCACTTTCAAATAAAAATTTCCTGATAATTTACTCACCCCCATGTCATTCAAGATGTCCATGTCTTTCTTTCTTCAGTCGAAAAAAAAATACGTTTTTTTGAGGAAAACATTCCAGGATTTTACTTCAATGGCAACCAACGGTTTGAAGGTCCAAATGTCTCAATGCAGCTTCAAAGGCTTGACTCAATCCCATTCGAGAAATAAGGGTCTTATCTAGCGAACCGATCGATAAATTTCTAAAAATAAAATAAAGATGATACTTTTTAACCACAAATGCCCGTCTTGTACCATCTCTGAGATGCGCCACGCATTACGTTATCATGTTAGAAAGGTCACGTGTGACATCGTTAAACATCCAGGATATGCACACGTAAGGACCATTTTAAACAATAAACTGACACAAATACATATAAATATGTGTCATTCAACATACAATAAGTTTGAACGGTCCTCCTACTCCAAACTTGTAAAAACTGGGTCGGTACTTCCAACTACTTCAAGCGTGACCTTTCCAACGTGATGACGTAATGCATGGCACATCTCAGAGATAGTACAAGACAGGCATTTGTGGTTAAATGTATAATTTTAATTTTTTTTTTTTAGAAAATGACCGGTCGCTTCGCTAGATAAGACCCTTATTTCTCGGCTGGGATCGTGTCGAGCCTTTGAAGCTGCATTGAGACTGACATTTGAACCTTCAAATCGCTGGTTGCCATTGAAGTCCATTATATGGAGAAAAATCCTGGAATGTTTTCCTCAAAAACCTTAATTTCTTTTCAAATGAAGAAAGAAAGACATGGGCAACTTGGATGACACGGGGGTGAGTAAATTATCAGGAAATTATTTAAAAGTGAGTCAACTACTCCTTTAACATAAGAAACTCCAGCCAAAACACTTATGACACAATTTCATTACTCAAGAACTTTGTGTAAAAACACTAAGTCTTTTATGGTTTACAAGGCCATGAAGGCATCATGTTCTCAAAAATAAGGTTCTTTTGGAGCTCTTGTTCTTTATCATGAGCTTGACTATCTCTTTGACCTTTGTCTGGGCTCTGGAGGTGACCGTTGTGCCATGGAAAGTACTAAACTGCATAAACCGATATGAAAGATTACGTTCTTAGCTGTATGAAGATGTTTTGTCTTGATGATTGCAGCTACTGTTGTACTTATATATAAACTGTTTGTTTTGCTTTTGCACTAAAAATCTCATTAAAACCTCCATGTCATACACAGGGTAGAAACTTCCTAACAGCGAGCATAGTAATATCTATCAAATCTATTTGTCTTTAAATTGCTGAGATAAACTGCACATTTTAATGCTTCTCTGATTGACTTTTCTGTTTTTCTTTCAGAGTGCAAAACGCAAATAGAAGTAAAAAGGTCAAGGGCTTTTGGAACGTGTCCATTCTTCCCCAGGAAATTAAAACACATTTTCCGTTTTGGGCTAAAGAAGGAGGTGACACTTCTCTTTTCTGTTGTGGCACTGGGGACATCCAGGAACTTGTGAGTGTGGGTGGTGTTCAATAGACTGCGATGCACCGCTTAAGGACTTGTGCGGCACGGCTTCGGCCAATCACTGCCTCTCAGACTGCTAAAAATCTATCACAGCAGAGGCCAGCATCCACCCCTAGGACGTTTCAGCCATTCAGGTGCTACACTGCACCGGTGGCCGCAGAGCCGTTTCTGAATGGAACAAGCTCCAACTATGTCGAGGAGATGTACTATGCATGGTTGGAGAATCCCAAGAGTGTGCACAAGGTAAGAGGCAGAGGACATGCTGTTGGATGATGTGAGGAGACCTGTCTGTTGTCTTGTCCATTCTCAAACTAAAGTTTTGGGTCTTGGGTGTTTGCATAAAAATGTAACACTGAATTTCCATCTGTATTATCTGTCAGATTATCTCTCCATCTGTCTACAGGTAGCAACTTGTGTGTCTTAGATCACATTACTGGGATCCCTGGTTGTATTTTTAGAGCAGTCATGGGAGTGTGCCGGTTCTAGGACATACTGACACAGCTGATTCATTATGGGCATTTAGTTGTTTTAACCCTCTGCACTTCTAATGAGGTTTTAGGTAATAAACCTCAATTATAATAACCACCTTAAGTTCAAAAGTGAGTTCAAGGTCCAGACTCCAGAGTATCTTGGGTTAATGTTTTGCTCACCGTCCTGTGGATGGATATTTCCACCCATCCCTTAGGCAATTACGTTTTGGCCATCTAGATCAGATATTCTCTTTAGGTTTAGAAGGAAGGGTACAGCCCCACCAGTTGCTACAATTTCCTATGGTTTCTTGATCTGAATTCCCCCACTTTACTTTATTCTGTGTAATGTTTGCTAACCTTAAACTGCCTTTTAAGCATTAATGCATAAATATAAAATCCTACAATCCTGATTAATCTTCGTTAACACAAGAAAGATGTACTAAAGACAATATGGATTATAGACTTAGTCATTTGTCCCCACATTCTTGAAAATATAAATTTTTCATAGTGCTGGGTGTTGACGCTGATTTCATGAACTTATAGGATTACAATTTTGATTTGATATTGATTCATTTGGATATCAGGTATGGATATTTATCAGTACATCATTTAACAGTACGTCAAAGTGGTCTAAAAATTAAAACGTAGACAATAAAACAATCTTCTGTGGAGGTCTTGGGACCAAAAAATGTTCGTCCAATAATTGCATTCGGTCTGATGTCCTTACCTGCCTGTCAACATATGGGGCCCTATCATACACCCAGCGCAATGTAGCGCCAGGCGTGATGCAAGTGTTTTTTGCTAGTTTCAGCCCGACGCAGTTATCATTTTCAGGCCCTGCGCCACAGCAAATACATTTGCGCCCATGGTCATGCGGGTCTGAAAACGAAGTGTGTTCAGGCGCGTTATTGGCGCGTTGCTATTTTGAGACAACTGAAATTGTCTGCGCCATTGGCGCTAACTGAAACCTGGTCTAAAGTCAACAATGGTGCAAAATATTTTTTTTATTATTTAAAGAGCGCATTAGTATGAGCCTACAGGCGGGTGCATAACAAGCGTACATTCTGCTTATTACACACAGGGACACGAAGCAGCACACAAACTAATTTTAAAAATAAAAGGATTACAATGTAAAGGATTATTATTGTTTTTGTACATAAAGATATGGTGGAATTCGGCACGTCCCGTAGATGGTCTGCTTGTGCCTTAACCTCGCGCACGAGCAGATCCGTTTCCTCTCTGGAGAAGTTTTCAGTCTTTCCGCTTGCAAGTTCCGCCATGTAAATAGCGAATCCGTCATGGCTTGAGCACAACTGGCTTTTAAAGGGAATGGGAGATGAGACTCTGATTGGTTTATTGCACGTTACGCCCAAAACGCACCCATTAGGTTGTTAAAATAGGGCCCATGTATTTCCATACCTCTGTGCACCCTGCTCACGCAGACATCACACATCATCAGCACGTTGTAGACAGTCACCGACAGTGTAAACAAACAGCAGCCGCCTTTAACAGATCCTCCTGATCCAAAACATCGAGCTTATGCTGCGTTCATGCCATGTCGTAACCGTAATTACGAGATGGCAAACCATCTACTTTTGATATGAAACAAAGATGCGTGCTACAATGTTCAGTTCATTCATCAACTAAAAACACGATAGACTAATCGATTCTTGGGATGTAGGAATCGATATCGGATCGTAAAAATGAATTGATTAAAATAGAGAAATCCATATTTATTTACCCAGCCCTATTTTTAAACTCATTCAGCTATTGCAAGCCATTGCGGTATGCATATTGTGATATGTACATTTGCGATATTTAGATATATCGTGCAGCACACACAAATATTTAGCGACACAGAAACTTGTCAACACTGCCCCACGACTTCGAATCGCTACTTTATATTACTCTGTAACAAGGTGGTAACATCGCTATTAACTCAGGTAACGCTTCCTTTTACAGTCCTGTTACCCATGTACATACTATGTGCTTATTATAGTAATTACAATAACTGGGTAATAATTAGGTACTAGCCCTGAACCTACCCCTAAACCTACCCCTAACCCATGTACTTACCTTATATTAGCCAGTACTTTTTAGGTAAGTACACTGTAAGTACACAGGAAATACACAGGGTCGTTCCTATACTGTATCTATCCTATACTATACCAGGGTCCTGTGTTCCCCAGATTTAAATAATTGTTTCTTGTTAGTTTTTGTTATTAATGTACATTAGGGTTTTATGTTACATCTTATGTTGTTTAAATGTTTATTGCATTATTTTAGTGTTATGGGTTACCATGGTGGAGTTTTGTATTTGTGTGCATGAGACTCTGACTACCTTCTATAGTGTATATATCTCAGCTTGTGGAAAGGCTACTTGTGACAAACTCAATTCATTATGTGTCTCTCTTACCACCTGTGTTATTATGGTGGTTATCAGTATAATATTCAGGTGGAATATTAATTTTATATCAGTTAATGAAATATACAGTTTTTAAATGGTTACCATTAAGTTTCAGTCCAATCAAACCTAAAATTATGCTATCATGCTTTTATGTGAACTGATGACAACCACTGTTGCCTTTTTTCAAAAAATTGTTCATGTGGTTCATGTGGCAAGATTTGTGGTTAAATTTTTTTTTAACAGTGTGGTAACCTGAAAAGAAATGTTTCCAAGCTCTGTATTTGCTTAATATGACATTGTTTATTGTGGGAACTCGTCAAATGGGTTTTCTGTTCCCCTGCATTGCCGCATGGCTCTCAATATACAGTAACAGGCCTAGGACTAAATGTTTTTGTTTTTTTTCAGTCCGGACCAAGTGAACCGAACTACAAGTGTGAACGCACCCTTAGTTAATGTGTGTTAACAGACCATTGAACTGGGGAACATAGAACATGTTCATTATGTGTCATATAAATCTGGGAAACATTGGACCCTGGGAATACTCTATCTCTCTCTAGATAATTCATTCAAATAAATGTAGTCTTACCGCACTACTTTATCTCCGTTTCTGATTTTCAAGCTAGATCTAAGGAGTCATGGCTAACAAAAATAACTGTCTTTTTTAACCCTTCCAATTAAATGGAAGCTGCAAATAACCATTTTTTTTACTTTTTAGTGTTGGCAAGTGACCCATGGTATAAGCAAGATAATCCACGGTTGTTAGATGATCCCTTACATGATACATTTCAGCAAGTTATACTGAAAAACTGAAAAATAGACTCAAAGCTCGATCTTGAGATTCAAGAATCAACATCAGTTCATCAAAATGAAGATAGATTAATTGGTATTTTCAACCCAGTCCTATTCTAGTTATGCTCACCTCTGGTGTATGTAATATGCTGTACATTTCCCTTTCAACATTTCCACCATCTTTGTGTAGGATTTTCAACCGTCTTTGTGTAGCATTTAAATCTCAAGTTGTTTTTGTTTTATTAGAAGCATTTACATTAAATATAATAATTGCTCATGGTTAAGAATAATTGTTATTGTTGATTCCATTGACTGTTTCCTGACAAATGGAAATCAAAGTCCGTTATTTAAAAATCACATACTACTGGTGGTGTCATTGAAAGCTGTTCGCCAAAACGCTGTGTATTACTATCTGGGGCTTTTGTCTTGTAACTTTGCACCTCAATTGCAAATCACACTGTCAGCACAATTGTAAAGTTCCAGCTCAGTTATGATGGATCTTCAGGACCACAATGCCTCAACATCTTATACATCACATTTAAAGGTGTCATGACATGGATTTTAATTTTAATTTTATCTGATCCTTGAGTTTCATGTATTATGTTAAAGTTTTTTGCACACACACAAAAAAAAAATCCTCATTCTAACCCTCTGTCTGAAATTATCAGTTTTTAAGTGCTTCTTAGCTGGAAACTTCCACAATATACACTCACCGGCCACTTTATTAGGTACACCTGTCCAACTGCTCGTTAACACTTAATTTCTAAGCAGCCAATCACATGGCGGCAACTCAGTGCATGTAGACATGGTCAAGACAATCTCCTGCAGTTCAAACCGAGCATCAGTATGGGGAAGAAAGTTGATTTGAGTGACTTTGAACGTGGCATGATTGTTGGTGCCAGAAGGGCTGGTCTGAGTATTTCAGAAACTGCTAATCTACTGGGATTTTCACGCACAACCATCTCTAGGGTTTACAGAGAATGGTCCGAAAAAGAAAAAACATCCAGTGAGCGGCAGTTCTGTGGGCGGAAATGCCTTGTTGATGCCAGAGGTCAGAGGAGAATGGCCAGACTGGTTCGAGCTGATAGAAGGGCAACAGTGACTGAAATGACCACTCGTTACAACCGAGGTATGCAGCAAAGCATTTGTGAAGCCACAACACGCACAACCTTGAGGCGGATGGGCTACAACAGCAGAAGACTCCACCGGGTACCACTCATCTCCACTACAAATAGGAAAAAGAGGCTACAATTTGCAAGAGCTCACCAAAATTGAACAGTTGAAGACTGGAAAAATGTTGCCTGGTCTGATGAGTCTCGATTTCTGTTGAGACATTCAGATGTTAGAGTCAGAATTTGGCGTAAACAGAATGAGAACATGGAACCATCATGCCTTGTTACCACTGTGCAGGCTGGTGTAATGGTGTGGGGGATGTTTTCCTGGCACACTTTAGGCCCCTTAGTGCCAATTGGGCATCGTTTAAATGCCACGGCCTACCTGAGCATTGTTTCTGACCATGTCCATCCCTTTATGGCCACCATGTACCCATCCTCTGATGGCTACTTCCACCATGTCACAAAGCTCTAATCATTTCAAATTGGTTTCTTGAACATGACAATGAGTTCACTGTACTAAAATGGCCTCCACAGTCACCAGATCTCAACCCAATAGAGCATCTTTGGGATGTGGTGGAACGGGAGATTCGCATCATGGATGTGCAGCCGACAAATCTGCGGCAACTGTGTGATGCCATCATGTCAATATGGACCAAACTCCCTGAGGAATGCTTCCAGCACCTTGTTGAATCTATGCCACGAAGAATTGAGGCAGTTCTGAAGGCAAAAGGGGGTCCAACCCGTTACTAGCATGGGGTACCTAATAAAGTGGCCGGTGAGTGTAAAACACAATACTACGTATTTTGAACACCCGGTAGAAAATATATACATCAATAATTATTCATACTTACAAGTTGTGATTCTGAGGAGCAAGCTGATCCAAATAAACGGTACTGACCCATCTTTCAAGAGCAAGCGTTTTGCGAATCCCACGTTAAACTCTGAGCAAAAAAGCAGCCGTCAGGAAAATTACGTGTTTGAGGGCTGGTCAAGTTTTTCGCGGGCGGACAACGTACAACATAGGCGGGCATTATGCAAATGTCTTTTCTAGTGATGTAAAACCATCACGCAGTGGGATTCGAAATACAAACGACTTAAGGAGTTTCAGAATCGATTCTTTCTTTTGGGAGACAATAACTCTATTTATCGTGCACTTTTGATTTACAACTTTGCCGAAAACTCAAAAGTTGATTTGAAGTCTCTCTGCCACATGATTTTAAGTCTCTGTAGCACAAGTAGTGCTGATGAGTTACCCATTGAAATGTCTCTTGTCCCTGACCTCAAGTTTAAGAAGTACTAGTGATGCTTGCCTTGGCCAGCACCAGCATTATCTGATATGTTTTGTAGATTGGTCATATATTCAAAAACAAAATAAATCCCTTCATGTATTCCACAGATGTTTAATTTGGTAAAAAATGAACCAAGAGTTTTGTTTTTCTTCTCACTGTTTTAAAACATATTGGAAAAGGACAGTCACTGTGGATCAGTCCAGACTTATGTACCATGTTAAAGGGTTCATTCTTGTTTTCTGCATTAGATCTTGTTCAAAATGATTCAGTAATATCATATCCAATTCAGCATGTCTGTTTAGCCATTGATTGTCTACATAAAGAGTCTAAATCCTTATTCTTTTTCTGTTCTCTAGTCTTGGGACATTTTCTTCAGGAATGCTAATGCTGGTGCTCCTCCAGGTACAGCCTACCAGAGTCCTCCTCCACTGGGAGTGAGTCTGGCCGGGCTTGCTCAAGCCCAGTCTCTGGTGGGGGCTCAACCGAATGTGGAGAAACTGGTGGAAGACCATTTGGCAGTCCAATCCCTCATCAGGGCCTATCAGGTACGCAGAGATTTTAAAAACGCTGTGCATTTGTTTCTTTAAAAATATTGGCTTGAAATTGATATCTCAGTGCTGCCTTTAATGAGTTTGCAGCCTGAACCTTTAATAAGGTAAGAGATCTATGCATTTAGGGTTCATTTTGAATAAAAAAATTGAAATCAAAATGGATGCTTTTGACGCTATTTGAGGTCACAGGAGAACATTCACTAAGCAGATAGCAGAGGTCGACCGGTATTTTGAGTTTGCTGATAACAATAACTGGAAAATCTGGCAAATAACTGATTAATCATTTGATGTTTTCTGAAATCAGTAATAAGAATAAACTTTATTGCGAAATGATCAATGGAAAATGGGTTTCTGTGCACACGTGTGTAGTGTACTGTACTTGCACATTCTATCTTTTTTTTTTTTTTTTTTATGTTAGTTTTTTGCTATATTGTTTGTTTATATCGGGGTATGTATATATCTGACTATCACAGTACTACTTAAAGTTATTGACACTTCAGAAACATGCAAGAATGAGAAAATGAAGAGCGGGATGTGCATTGTTAATATTACATTGGCCATTTTTATAGTATTCTGTGTGTATTTGTTTTTGACAATTCAAGCACAATGAGCTGTGAAAAAAAACCTCAATGCGGTACTTGCGCTAACTGACACACCCCCGAAGCTTGCAAAGCACAAACGGCATGCGATCCTGAATTTAGTTCTCTTTCGTGGTTTATTGAGGTCAATGGTCAAATACACAGTGAATAATGTCAAAATGTCCATTGTTCCTTGTTGTCAATAAGAAATAAATAAAACTACTGTACCTGAAAGACTTAAGTTTATTTAATTTGTATATTTGTTCTGTTGTATTTGTCCTATTGTTTGTAATTTAGCTTATTTTGTTTTTATTTTTAATAACCACGATCGGATTGGCAACTATCAGCATTTATTTACCTGATAACGATAGTTCCATAAAGCAACTATTGGTGCCAATTAATCTGTAAAATTGAGATATCGGTCGACCTCTTGCAGATAGTCCCATTTGGTTTAAAATACCAAATTTTGCAATACCTCGTTTTGATTGCATTGTTTCGCATCTTATATTTGTGACACTGTGTAAGGATGGGCTCAATTTCACAGTCATGGGATCTGCTTGGTGAACCCCTCATGTCTTGTGACTGCTGTTGCCTTGTTTTCAGGTAATGGGGCATCACAATGCAAGCCTTGACCCACTTGGCATCAGTTGTGTAAATTTTGACGAGACCCCAGTAGCTACTGGGTTCCAGCATGTTGGTGAGAAATGTTTTCTGTCTTCCACAGCTCAGCAGACCAATATTAATGAGCCTGTTTTGTGTGATTGTCGCTTTCTCCTTCCCTTATCTGTCCCTCTTTCTCCCATTTCACACTTTCCCCTGTTTTTCAACTCTTATACCCCATCCCCCTTTGCACCCGACACTTAATTTCATCTTCGACACCTCCTACATCATGTCAATCTTCTTGTGCTCTTGCTGCACTTTCTCTTCTGTACCTTCTTTCTCCCCCTTCTGTATCTTTTCCTTGTGGGTGGTTTTGCGTTCGGCTCCCATGTTTGTGGGGCGACCCCTTGTCTCCTGTAGATACGTGGTCACCATGTGGCTCAGCTGGACCCTCTTGGGATTATGGATGCTGATCTGGATTCATGCGTTCCCACCGACATTATTACGTCATCGGATAAACTCGGTGAGGAATTATGAATGTCCACCAAACTATACATGGTTAGGACTCAGATGTTTTGTCAAAACTGCTTTCTATGACAGTTTGTGATTTGAATTTCAACTTCATCTTCATAATTTATTCAAAATGATAGGTATTGTTAAACTTTTCTGGAAAGCAGTTTTAGACTTTATTTATTTATTTTACTGATTGTTGTGATTCTGGATTTGTGGTGATGAAGGGCAGCAGCACTGTATTTGGCTTTCACATATTTGGCATCAATCTAAAATTGACTTTCTGAACAGTATCACGCTTGAGGTGGCTGCAAGTCTTGAAGGACGTGCTTTGCTCCATTCAAATTACTTGACAGGACTTTGTTGTGACTTGGCCTGATCATATTTTTGACATTGCAGTTACATGCACGCTACTTTCTATTTTCTGCACACTGTTTGGTAACCATGGCAACATTATCAAATATGGCGATGTCCGTTACAGTGAAAAAATTGTATTCAATAATTGTCCAATAGAGGTGGGAGTACATCCATCAGATATTTTAAATGACCAGTAACGGCTTTAAATGCTTTGTAGCCGAGAGCATTTAAAAAAGGAAAATAGTTCCAAACAAAGCAGAGAGGGTCTCCTAGCAACAAACATCTGTGTTTCATTCTTGAATGATTCCACCGTTTTGAACGTATCGGGTGAGTGAATGATTCAATGACCCGTTCATAAATTCACTGGACACTTGCTCTGGCTCTGGCTTCCAGCAAACACTTTTGACTTTGGAGGCTGGTTTCTCTATTTTCACGTTCAATTGCCCATAACTAGGGCACTTTTTCAACAGGTTCCTCAGTGGGTTTCTGAGTGCGGAATGGAAAAGTTTTGTCCCGTGACTATCATGTCTCGCATTCACCCAATTGCCCTGCTACGGCTCTGCAACCGGAACTGAACAATGTGCCTTTGCATTATTACTATCCTCGATTAAAGTTTGGATGCGTGTCTCTAATTGAGTAAAATGGAGAGAGATGCGAACACAGGATTACTCAAGCAACAAAATGATAGACATGCCTCTGAGGCGGTTTGACGGGCTTTTCAGAGAGGCTGAAAATAAAAGATGGTGCAATACAACAATGCATTATTAAAATAATTATTGCACTAAAAATAATTCTTTGGTTTGTGCCAGTATTTTCAAGGTGTGTGTGTGTGGGGGGGGGGGGGGGTGCACTTACAGTGCACCCCCACTTGCTGCACTTACAGAAGACGAAAGCTCACAGAATCTTTTGCATTCTGTACAATGTAACCACATGTAGAGGAACATGCAGTACATAAAAAATGTCATATTTAAAGGGTGCATATCTCCCAAAAATTATATTTTCTTTGCTCTTTTGAGGAGCAACATTTTATTAATATAATATACTTAGTACATACCTCTCAGGGCCCTTCCCATTCCCCCACCATTTAAGCAAATTACACTGTAAAAGAATAAATAAAAAAATAATAATAATTAAACTAAAAAACAAGGTCAGAGAGAAGGCTGAAAGCTAAATTACGACTGTAATGCGGAAAAAATATTTACCATAAAGTTTTGCAAGTAATGTGTTTAGCCTCTCAGGAGCTAGTCTTTGCTTTGCTTGGCAGTGTGTGGGACAGTCGTGTAGGCTAGAGCTGCACGATTCTGGATAAATTGAGAATCACATCTTATATATATATATATATATATATTTTTTTTTTTTTCAAATAGAGATCATAGTTTTCCCACGGTTCTGAACGGACAACTAAACAAAATAACAAGAAATTTACTAGAGGTTCTGACAAAATGTTAATTGCTGCTGTCTATTTAAATATACCAAGAGTATAGGTATTTATACTTATATAAATACCTTATATATATATATATATATATATATATATATATATATATATATATATATATATATATATATATATATATATATATAGGTATAAATACCTATACCTGACAACTGCTCTCTCTGGCTCAACGGCTTCATGGACACAGATTTAAATAATCTGGTGGGGTTTTTTTTAGTTCGTTTTTTTAAAAGGTTTAATAGACACAGGCGACTCACTATAATTTAGGAATAAGATTGCGTGGGTGTTTGAATCGAGATCACAATATTTTAATGACTAATCGTGCAGCTCTAGTGTAAAAGCTGTGATGTAGATTGAGCCTTGAAGCCATGATTGTATTGCTGCAGCATTAAGGAACTGCCTGGTTTGGTGCCTGTTGTGATTTAGTGAAGGAAAGTTGTTTTATCTGGAATCCATAATAAGATGTGTGGTTTACCTACGCGACCAACTCTTTACATTTCATTAGTGAAACTATTCAGTGCTGTAATTAATGTTTGTTAGTCTCTCTCAATGGAATTGGCTATGTGAGGTTTTTGGAATCACTAACTCCAGTGGATTTTTTTCCCCCTACTACTGCCTCTCCAGACCTTACATATGTCAAGAAGCGTCTAAGTGCTCTAACCATTGGAGGTAGGCTTTAATGACGAGCAGTTCTGTGCCTCTTGGTTTATAGCTTTGTTTTAGTAGTTGCAAGTAGTTTTAGCTGCTTTTTTTGTGTGTATTTGTGGTTAAATTTGTAGAATTTGAAAAAATCTGAATGTTCCTTGGTATCTAAGAATGGCAGCTGTAACCACTGTTTAAATAAAAAATAAAATAAAAACATCTTTCTGAAAATGGATGTATAATATATTATAAAACATTAAAATAGTTAATTTGAATGGAGAGACTCTGAATCTAAAGGAATTCTAATGGAGCTTTACTATTCCTTGTCTTGGTGTGTCTTCATTTAACAGCACAATATATATGTTTGTTTAAATGTGTATATATAAAGTTTAGAGTTGGTAAGATTTTAATTATTTAATTTAATTTTTAAGGTTTTTAAATTAAGTCTTATACTCACAAATGCTGCATTTATTTGATCAAATGTACAGCAAAAACAGTCATATTGTTAAGAAGTATTACATTTCAAAATGTATTACAATAGAAAACAGTTATTTTAAAATGTAATTTATTCCTTTTTGGCAAAGCAGAATTTTCAGCAGCCATTATAGTTTTCAGTTGTCACATGGTCCTTCAGAAATCATTCTCATATGCTAATTTTGTGTCCAAGAAACATTTCTTATATAAACAGCTTAATATTTTTGTGGAAACAGCGATACATTTTTTCAGTATTATTTAAAGAAAAGAAGAAGAAAAAACAGCATTTAATTTGAAATAGATTTTTTTTTATAACTATACATGTCTTTACTGTCACTTTTGATAAATTTAATGCATCCTTGCTGAATAAAAGTATTACTTTGTATACTGAGAAGAACTAGTGTAGTTTAAATAGATAGACGCTTGAGCCACACTTTGTTTTAAACGTAATATTTGACATGTTTGTATGCTTTTTGTTTTGTTTATAGTTAAATAATGTTAAGCCTTTAGGTGATAGTATTGTAATGATGATACTTATGTAGTAAGATAGTGACAAAATAATGTACATTTCTGTTTTTGCTGTTGTGTTTTTGTTGATATATTAGTCAATTCCAGTGTATGAATGCTAGTTTTTATTTAATTAATTGCGTGGCTTTGGAGAACTTAACTGTTAAATGTACATAAATGCATATCTCTATTTTTTTTTTACCTTGCTTTACAGAGTCTGAATTTCACTTTGCTGAAGTTTCTCAAACCTGTAATTGGGACAAGGGTAATTGATATGCTCTAAACAGCTGTCTGAAAAACAAATAGTAAGAGTGGAGTATGAATGCCTGTTTTGCATAGCATTCTGTTAGCAGCATTTAAATTAGCCAGAAAGACAAAGAGATTTCCATGGCCTGTGACATGAGTGTGTGCCAGCACACGAGTCTGTGTTTATGCTGGTGCTATATGGTGAATGGCTCAGCAGTCTACATGAATACTGTCATACTTCTGTAATGTCCAGAATCCCATCCAGCATTTTAAAAACTATTCGGTAACTGCTGTTCCATATTTAAAAGGGAAAACATCTTTGAAAAACATATTTGTTTTATAAACCTAAAAAGTTATAAACCGAGTGGTAATCGGCAGCCTGACACATGTGAACCATAAATTTTAAATATCCCAGAATATTCCTTTAATGTTTTGAGGTTAAAGGATTATAGTCATAAAAATGCTATTCAAAGATATTAGGATACACGCACATTTATGAAATCTTTAATTTCTTGATGGGATGTGTATGTGGACATTGTGTTTGTAGTTAAGAGTGCTTCTGCTCAAGGTCTGACTTTTTTGGAGAAGTTATTTTTGTGCCGAGTGTGTTTTTGGTGGCTTTGCTGTGCTCTATCTTCAGATGTGGTGAAGGGAAGCATTATGTGATGGTTAATGAAGTCTACATGTTTACGTTCTCTTGTAAAATCCCAAGTTTACATTCTCTTGTAAAATCCCCCAACACAACAACAGACACACACCTACACTTTTCTATTCACACAAGCACACACACACACACACCCCTAGAAACTAGTGATGCACCAAAATGAAAATTCTAGGCTGAAATGGCAAGCGAAATTATTATTATTTTTTTACTTATTTTAAAATATTTTTTGTATAATTGTTAATATTACACTTTTTAATTAATTTCATGAATTGTACCTTAACATCTGAATTAATAATCATTTATTTAAAAGTAGGGTAGGCAATTTTCTGAGAAATTAGCAATAGCGAGTTAGCTTTAAAGCATTAGATCCCACCCTCCCTTCAGAGCGTCTCCAAAGCCACTCCTCCTTCAAAACACGTTAACGCGTACAACAGGGAGCAAACCAAAGCATCGCAAGACACGGTGTTAAACTACCTCTTGTCTCAAACGCATAACATTACAATAATAATGAACAAAAAACAACTTAAAGAACACTGACCTGTACCACCTGACTGCTGCAGCGTCATTTCGTCGTTGATAGTTTTGCCATTAAAACGCATAAATTCGAGTCACAAACCGGTCCAAGTATAACGTCATGGGTTTCTATCTCTTTCAAATTATAGTAGTTATAGCGTGAACGCAGCATAAGCTCTTGTTCGCGGTGCTCAGTGTCTGACGTCTGTCTGACTCTGCATAGCATGAAACAGGCTGATAACGTGTGATGTATGCGTGAGCAGGGTGTGCGGAGGTATGGAAATGCATACATTGATTGGCAGGTAGGACATCCTATCATTGCATTCGGACCGAATTCAATGATTATGCATACATTTTATGACCCTACGCCTTCCACAGATGATATACAGTATACATATTAATACATTTAGACCACTTAACTTAGTGATTGCCATCAGGATGTGAAGAGAATTTCAACCACTATAACAAAAAAAAAATATGGAACAAATCACCTACCCTGCGTTTAATAATCAACACTCAAATAAAGTTTACCGAAAATTCTAATTGCACACAAGGCAGTTTTATATAAACTTTTTAATATTAGAATCGTTTCTACTCCTATTTGTTGGTGGAATATAAGTTTTATATGAAGGCTGTAATAATTTTTCAAGACAAATTTATTCATACATTAAATAATGAAGACCTCACTAACAGCTTAAGTAAAAATATAATGAATATAATAAATTTATTTGTCATGCGCCTTTCTCAGACTCAAAGCGCTACAGTACAGAACAAAACAATCAAACATGAGGATAAAATAAATAAAGAAATAGTAAAAAGAAGTACAACAAAATAATACAATTATAAATTGAAAGCTTGACTAAAAAGATATGTCTTAAGAAGTTTCTTAAAACAATCCAGAGAATCAGCATCCCTAATAGTTGTAGGTAATGTGTTCCATAATTTTGGTGCGTTGTAGGAAAAGGCCCTTCCCCCCATGGTTTTTAATTTACAACGTATATTAAAATGTATATATGTATATATGTGAATATGTAATGATGTGCATATATTTAGTATCATGCTTCTGCTGCTTGAACTAAATCGGCAAAGTTTGAAAGTCGAGACTTTGTTTCATATTAAAAGCAACAGCTTATTGCGATTGCACGAAAAAGACGCTGAACAGTCAAATTGTGCCATCGGAGAAGCGCTAACTAAACGTCAAATTGTTGTTTCAGCCAAAATTTTTTGGTAGCCGAAATGTTGGTGCATCCCTACTAGAAACAAGTTCATCATACTCTCTCTCTGTGCTCATCCTCTCTTCTTTCTTCTCTCTGTCTTACTGTCTTTAGTGCTCTTATTAACACCGTTATATAGGTTAATCTCTCTCTTTAACATACCCGTTCAAATGCCTTGAGGTGCATGTCTGTCTTTTTTTGCACATCCAAAATTATCAACACAGACTGGTCAGTTTCCATATGTAGTGTACTGCCCTATCAATATCTCTGAACAGCTTAATGCATGTCATGTTTGACTTTTTGTAGGTACTGTATGAGCCTCAGTAATTTGTTAATTTATTAAATTAATTGCTCTGCCTAAATATACTAGCATTCAGAGAAACAATAGGTGTTTTAATATTCAAAGAGTAAAATGTTCTGCCAGGCTGTTAACTCGCATGTTATGGTCTTGAATTAGTAGTGCTGCTGTGGGTTATGTAGAATCTGTGACCAGGACTTTCTTACAGGTTTTGTGAGATCCACCCTCAAAGGTTTATTAAAACTTGTGCTGTCAATAATATATAGTAAGCTAATTTTTAAAAGATCGTCCCTGTGTAAGGTTTTTTAATCATTCAATTCTTACTGTAAAGGTAACACAGTAATACAGTAGTTGTGTATTAATTCTAGATATATTAGAATTGCACATTTTGCTATAAGTATATACTTAGTGTAATGTATACAATAAAACTGTAGGCTATATGAAATGGTAGTTTTTGACTTGACATTAAAAACATGAGGAGCTGAATAAATATAATATAATACTATATCATTCTACTACTAAATGAGATCTTTACTGTTCAATTCATTGCAGTTTACAATCCAAAGATGTACGGTTGTTTGTTTACATAATAAATTCTGGATGCATTTAATGCTGTGATACAATTAACACCAAGATTATATTGACAGTAATAATGATGTTAACCCATTTTTTCTTTTTCTTTTTTTTTAACCCCCAAATTCTCCATCTCTCTACTTATCAATTTTTAAACCACCTTTCTTTTCTCTCTAAATCTTAATGTTCTTTTTTTTATGTTGTCCGCTTTGCTGTTGTTGTTGTTATTATTATTATTATTAATAACATTCATCATTGTAATGGCTGGTGCTTTTTGTTGTGTTTTCTTAACACTCAATCCACCATGTTTCTGATTATGCACGGAATCACTGTCATCCTCATGTTTACTCCATCCCGCACTAACTCAATGTTTTTTTTCTCTCCCTGTCTGTCTTTTTTTTCTTGTTTCACTGTTCCATTTATCTCCTCATTTCCTCTCTCTACATATGGACTTCTCTTCCTTTCGCTTTACTTTATTTCCCTCCATCCCTTATTCACGCGCATTGGCATCCATGATGGCTCTTCTCTTTTCTGTTGACCCTGTCCCTCTCCCTTTCCACTGTTCCCTTCTCTCTGGGTTGGGTTGGACGTGTTGTGTGTTTGGCTGACAGGTTTCTATGGGCTGGAAGAGTCTGATCTAGATAAAGTATTCCGCTTGCCCACCACCACCTTTATTGGGGGCAATGAGAGCGCTCTGCCCCTTAGGGAGATCATCCGCCGCTTGGAGGTGAGTGAGGACCACAAGGAAGCTAAAACAGCTAAAAAGATCACTTCTTATTTTAATTCACCCCCTCAAAAACTTATTTTTAATCTTTGAAGAGCCACACTGTCTTGAAAAAACTATTTATTTATTTTAAATTCTATTCCAGTCAATCACAAAAAAAAAACAAGAAAAGTCATGGGGCCTTTGAATGTTGTTTTTATTTTTATAAATAAATAGTTATAAATAGTTTTGCTTCACAAAAACGACACATGTTATGCTTAAAAATATAATGACTGATTGAGTGTTTAAATGTCAATGTAAAATATCAAACCATGTGTTCTCAGATGCTACTTTTTAGTCAGTTCTCAAGTTCACACAGGAGTCCTATATGGGAAACCACAGGTGTAGTTCATCACATTAATTATGAACATGATCCACTAACATTTGACAACCAGGAAGTGTCACAGGGCATTATTATTTGAAGAGTTGTATAATTTGAAACATTACAACTTCTTTTTGTGAAATGGTTGTGTGCTGCAGTACTGTGTAGTATTTTCTTTCAGTTTGGAATAAAACAATTACTTGTTGCTGAAATGTTGTGTTTCTCAGATGGCATATTGCCAACACATAGGGGTTGAGTTCATGTTCATCAATGACCTGGACCAGTGTCAGTGGATCAGACAGAAGTTTGAGAGGCCTGGGGTTATGCAGTTCAGCCTTGAGGAGAAGCGGACACTGTTGGCTCGCATGGTTCGCTCCACCAGGTACGCACACACTCATAAAGGCCAAACGTAAGGAATACGTGCATTAAACCTCTCAGAATGTTTGCATCGGTCTGAACAGACACAGTCGTCATTATTAAATTAAATGGTTAACGCACCGAATCTTCGCACCAAACGTTTTTCTTGGTGTGACTGTTCTTTTCTTCCCTACTGTGACGTACACTCGAGTGAAGCAGCTTCTTGAACAAAAAAAATTTAGGACAGGACTTGATTTTGTTCATCCGGAATTGATTGGATCGTTGTCGTTAGGGATGTCAATTTACATAAATTCCCATGGTACATTCCCATAGTCCGTTTTGGCCGTTCATTTACACGTCAACAGTGTTTTGGGGGCCTGAAAACGGGTTTCAAAGTGCACGTTTTTGAAAACTATACTGTTATTGTATCAGTGTAAACTTTCACATTTGTGAAAATTGTGACGTTATGCACATGTTCAGTCGCGTAGTTTTTCTTTACAGAGTGACCTCGCCAGCTACTGGCCTGGCATGCATAAGCCAGCGTTTTTTTTAATCCTTTTCATGGATCTGTGTGAATGGGGCTCGTTTTGACAATGTTGTCGTCTGTATGCGGAAAACGCAAAGGAAAAACGTTTAGGTTTTTAGTGCATTGTTGTAATGTAAACGTACCCTTAGAAGCTTTGCTGACATATTGGAAGTAGACAAATATGTCTTCATGATTTTGAAGACATCACTCTGCACTTCAGCTTCTCATCAGATTTTCTGTCCAATCAAATGCTCTCTAGTCTGCTCCGGTCCAGAGACACAATAGCACAGAGAATATCATATGTGCGAGTCAGCACATACCAGAAAACGTATCGGACTCATTTGAATTCTACACAGAATGCTATATTTTAAAGCATTATGGAGAAGATAAGGAGGAGAAACGGTTAGAGATTAGGAAGAAACTGCGACTTTACCGAGCTCAACATATAAAATAAATGCTATTGGCTATTTTGGGAGGGGAGGAGCTGTTTGATATGTCCCGCCCTGTTTTCCTGTTTCAGTACAAATTGTCAACACATTGAATAATGCTGCTGGGCCTAAATCTTCAATAACAAAATATGACTGAGAAAATAGTCTTTTATTAGACTGAAAGTCAGAACAATGCAGGTGCATTTTACTCATTTAACAAATCTAGGGCTGTCACTCAATTATTTTGGTAGAGTAATTTGTCAATTCTTTTGAAAATTAATTGAGTAATCTGATCATATTTTTGGTGGTAATAAAAATAGAATAGAATAGAGTGAATACCCTTAAAATGACTTGATACATATGTAATAACAACAACGAGGCAATAAGCTTACACAAAGTATTTAAAGAAAGTCATTTTATGGTTTTATTGAACAACACTGTTGATACATATGTAATAACAATGACGAGGCAATAAGTTTACACAAAGTATTTAAAGAAAGTCATTTATGGTTTTATTGAACAACACTGTTTATAATATTATGTATATTATGTATTTTAACAATCAACTTATGTACATTATTTATTATAACAAATGCCTGCAGAGGGCACCCATTAGGGTGATTGTTGTTGTTACACTTACAGCATGATCAAATCCTTGTTTAATATTGGCCAAACAACATTTAATTCAAATGTCCACTTAAACTTTAATTTTTGGCCACTTCTTTTCAAAAGAAATGCTACAGTTGCTGTAATTTCTTGAACAAGAACATGTGAACATCAAAGCATGCAAACCCAGAGCGAGGGTTTAAACTTTTATTTTGAAATCTTGATGAATACTGATGTATTCACCTGTGTTAGTGTAGGTTTATAAATGCTATATTATGATTTTTAAAATCTGCCCAGAACCGATCACCAGTGATCACCACGAAATGTATGCCGGTTAGTTCTTTTTTTTTCCGTGTCAATTCTATCATCCTAACGGATGAAAATACACTCAAATACATTCAAATAAAGTCATTTGTAATCATAACTTCAGTTAAATAATAATAATTAAAATGGGTTTGCGTTAACGCCGTTAATAACGCCGTTAATAACGCGTTTAACTGACAGCCCTACTTAAAATATAACCTGCATACACAATAGTCAATAGTAAAATTTATTTACATGTTTTGACTGAACAGTTGTTGCATGTTTTAATAAAAATGTTGTTTAATATAACTAGTTACTATGCACATTCCAGTACGTTTTAACTGTTATTCTTAAACTTACATTTCGCCAAATTCATTCAAGTCCTCGGTTCACCCGTCCTTATACTATCAGCACAGCATCAGTTGTCTGTTGGGTTCAGACAGTGCTGTCACAGTCATAGTATGTGTACTGTTCGATACTGTTCGCATGCTCAGTATCACCAGCTCATTGGTGCTCAGTATCTTGGACATGTCCGAAAGAAACAGTTCTCGGTTAAAGGGATAGTTCACCCAAAAATGAAAATTAGCCCATGATTTACTCACCCTGAAGCCATCCTAGGTGTGTATGACATTCTTCTTTCAGATGAATACAATCAGTCTGAACTACTTCCGGCAGACGGAACTACTTCTGAACTACTTCCCTTGAACTTGACGCACAATGTAATGATGAACGCGGTTGCCCAGCCCTGTTTGTTTGAACCTCAAGAGGCGTCAATTGCCGTCATTACGTTGTGCGTCAAGTTCAAGGGTTACTCTTTTAGTGTAAATTGATGTGTACGGCCGTCTGCCGGAAGCTAGTTATTTTTAAATGTGGATATTTTTCTTACACGAACGCATCGCTTCACTTCAGACTTCTTTTATTAACCCCTGGAGACGCGTGGAGCACTTTAATCATGAAAAGATGCACTTTGATGGACTTCCAAAAGCTCAAGCATGTTCGCTTGATGTGTGAGAACCAATGAGGTTCATTCTTGTGTGTTAAGCAGCAAGTTTGAACTTCCGCAAGAACCAATAATGTTTATTCTCACGTGTTACGCAGCACGTTTGAGCAAGAGGTTTGTTCTCGTGCATCAAGCAGGTTCGGTTGAGCTTCTGTTAATGTTCACTGATCAATGTTTATATCTGAATAAAAGCCTAAATTCAATCTGTTCATCACATAAAGCGACCGTGTCTCTTCAGAAAATTTGGATTAAACCGTTCGATTTATATGGATTAGTTTTACGATCTCTTTATGATTTTTTTTTTGAAGCGTCAAAGTGGTAGTTGTGTAGCTTCCAATGGAGCAGTGGTTCTCAAGCCTCATGCGGCCCACCAAATGCCGACCACATTTAAAAAATACATTCCAGTTTTACAATTTATTTTTGTTTTAAAATGGATTAAACAAATATAAGTTTGAACTATGTTTTTTTTTTTGTCATATAAAATCATTTTGGTGATCATATATATTATTTCAGACATTTCCAGACCTACTATGTAGCTACTACCGCAATTATGATGTCTCTGCAATAGGGAGGGGAAATTATATTTAAAAAGATGTTGTTGAAACCCATATTTTATGTTTATTGCAATTTTATAATATATTACACATGCTGATTTCTGCAGGTTTGAGGAGTTCCTGCAGAGGAAATGGTCGTCTGAGAAGCGCTTTGGGCTGGAGGGCTGTGAGAGTCTGATCCCTGCGCTCAAAACCATCATTGATAAATCCAGCAAAAACGGAGTAGATGCTGTCATCATGGGAATGCCTCACAGGTAGAGGAAGAGATGCTAAATTTATAGAGGGGGAAAATGGAAAATAACTGAAATTACAGTGGCTACATGGTGTTCTGGTGATTTATGGAATCAATTATAAACTCTCTTTCTGTCTGTCACTGTAGAGGACGTCTGAATGTGCTTGCCAATGTTATCCGTAAGGAACTGGAGCAGATTTTCTGTCAGTTTGACTCTAAATTGGAAGCTGCTGATGAGGTCAGTGACATTTTTGTCTATATACACTTTGTTGGAATCTCATGAACTTATAGTATGTTTGTTCTGATGATTGTGTTGGTACCTGTAACAGGGTTCAGGAGATGTCAAGTACCACTTGGGCATGTACCACAGGAGGATAAATCGTGTGACTGACAGGAATATTACCTTGTCATTGGTGGCCAACCCTTCCCATCTAGAAGCGGTGAACCCGGTGGTGCAGGGCAAAACTAAGGCAGATCAGTTCTACTGTGGAGACACAGATGGCAATCGGGTGAGATGTAAACTGCATCAAACTAGTGCTGTGACAATGCGGTCATATACTTTACCATTCAAAAGTTTGGGGTAGGTAAGATTATTCTCTTATGCACCCCAAGGTTGCATTTATTTAATTAAAAAAATACAGTAAAACGGTAATATTGTAAAATATTATTAATAATTAAAATAACTTTTTAAAACATTTTGTTTTTGAATTTTCAACATCCATTACTCAATCCTTCAGAAGACATTCTAATATGCTGATTTGATGTTCAACAGGCATGTGCGGGGGGAGTGGGGTGGCTAATATGACAATGTGTACAAAAGTTATGAATTGTTTAAAAGTTGGAAAATTCCTGTTTATTTTTACGTTATCTCCCGTCAGACAGCCATAACGCGTTGCTACGAGCTTGCGTCTTGCTTTGGACTTTACTGACACATAGGGATGCATCTCATCATAGACTGCTCCCCTAAAATCTACTTCCGGCGAGATCATCACAGATCGCCGAAAACAGTTGGAGAGATGGGTTGAGCACTACCAGGAACTGTACTCAAGAGAGAACATTGTTGCTGACACAGCCATTCGAAATACCATGCCTCTGCCCATCATGGAGGAGCTTGACTCGCCACCCACCATCGAGGAACTTGGGAAGGCCATCGATTCACTGGCCTGTGGGAAAGCACCAGGCAGTGATGGAATTCCACCAGAGATTATCAAGGCAGGAAAGGGGAGCTCTCTTCTTGGCCACCTCCACAACCTCCTGCTCAAATGCTGGGAAGGGGGCATTATACCCCAAGACATGCGAGACGCTAAGATCCTGACGCTTTATAAGAACAAGGGCGATCGCAGTGACTGCAATAACTATCGTGGGATCTCCCTCCTCAGTGTTGTGGGGAAAGCCTTTGCACGTGTCATCCTTAACCGTCTACAACTGCTTGCCGATCGTTTGTACCCAGAGTCGCAATGCGGGTTCCGAGCAAAACGGTCAACAATTGACATGGTGTTCACCCTTAGGCAGCTACAGGAGAAGTGCCGTGAGCAGAGACGTCCTCTGTTCCTTGCCTTCATAGACCTGACCAAGGCGTTCGACATGGTCAGTCGGACTGGCCTCTCCACTCTCCTACACAGGATTGGATGCCCCCCCAAGCTCTTGAAGTTGATTATATCATTTCATGAGAATACGATGGGCACAGTCCAGTATGGCGAGTCATCCTCAGACCCTTTTCCAATCAAGTGCGGTGTGAAGCAGGGGTGTGTTCTGGCGCCAACACTTTTTGGCGTGTTCTTCTCCCTGCTCCTGCGCTATGCCTTCTGCAACTCTGAAGACGGGATCTTCCTCCATACTAGGAGTGACGGGAACCTTTTCAACCTTGCCCGCCTCAGAGCAAAGACTAAGGTCCGCAGGGTACTCATACGGGAGATGCTGTTTGCAGATGATGCTGCTCTTGCTGCACACACTGAGGGTGCCCTCCAGCGACTTATCACCTGTTTTGCAGATGCATGCACAGAGTTTGGCCTTGCCATCAGTGTCAAGAAAACCAAAATAATGGTGCAAGATGTCAACACCACTCCTGAAATCACTATCAGCGACCACACCCTGGAGGTAGTGGAGAATTTCACATACCTTGGCTCCACCATCTGCAGCAACCTATCCTTGGATACTGAGCTCAATATAAGGATAGGCAAAGCAGCCACCGCCATGGCTCGACTAGCAAAGAGGGCTTGGGATAACACTCTATTGACACTCAAAACAAAACTGAGCATCACCTGGCAGGATCGTATCACAAACATAGCCATCCTGGCCCAGGCAGGTATGCCAAGTATGTTCACCATCCTTACACAGAGGCGACTGCGCTGGCTTGGTCACCTGTGCAGGATGGATGATGGTCGTATCCCAAAGGACGTTCTGTACGGGGAGCTTGCCACAGGAACACGACCATCTGGACGGCCAACCCTGCGCTACAAGGACGCCTGCAAGCGAGACTTGAAAACGTGCAGCATCTGTCCGGCTGATTTGGAAGCAGTGACATCGGACCGCGAAAATTGGCGATCCACCGTTAAGACTGGTGTCCTTTTAGCCGAAGAAAAAAGAGCAATGCAGTGGGAGGAGAAGAGGACTCGTCGGCAGCAAAGCGTTCAGCCTGTTCCCATTGACATCACCACTGCTTACACCTGTAGCAAGTGCCAGCGGTTGTGTCGCTCCCGTATCGGACTCTACAGTCATAGTAGAGTCTGCAACCAAACCACAGACTGACCTGGGTGCAGATTCTAAACCATTGTCTCTCGAAGACAGAAGGATGCCAATATAGGAATGCATCGATACCATTTTTTCAGAAAAGACCCGATACCAAAAAATATTATTAGCAGAGTGTTAGCCGGTCCGATTCCAGCGCAGAATTTCTATACCTCTGTATGTAGAAGTGATAATCACTCTTTAATGTGTTAAACACAATCTACTAAATACAGACAACTTTATTATAAAGTAAAACAACAAATGAAAAAAATAAATAATCAATCTTTTTTTTTTGGTGATATATTTTTTTGAATATTCCATTAACAGGTCCTTGTGTAGAAATTTGTGTTCATACATATAATTTTTTACAGTTCAATTAATAAAGCAGGTTGTCTTAAGCATATCCGTGCCATCATCTAATGCTCAGTAAAGTTCATCTTTAAAAAGCACTAAAAATTTAATAACACTGTAAACTTGAGCAGAAATTAATATCCATTTTTCATACTGTACGTTAATGCCTAAATTCATTTGTAGATCTTAAACGATTGATTTTAGTATTTTATTTTTAATTTATTTAAACAAAATAGTTTAGACAACTGTCCATAACATAACCAATAAATTGGGCTAAATCTGTTTCGATGAGAATTTTAATATCTGAACATCCTTTGTACTTTTAGGATGTTTTGTAAATGGATCAGTTATGATGAGCTCAGATCGAACGAACTGCTGTGTTTTTGTTTCAGGTGATGTCCATTCACATCCATGGTGACGCTGCATTCGCAGGTCAGGGCATTGTCTATGAAACCTTCCATCTGAGCGATCTGCCCTCCTACACCACACACGGCACTGTGCATGTGGTTGTCAACAACCAGGTATTTTTGCACAAACAATTCCACGCGTGATGTAATATCCCCCACCAAATATCCTCTTAATACACCTCTGCTTCTCTTTCTCAGATTGGTTTCACCACAGATCCTCGTATGGCGCGCTCCTCGCCGTATCCCACTGATGTTGCCCGTGTGGTCAATGCCCCCATATTCCACGTCAACGCAGACGATCCTGAAGCTGTGATGTACGTGTGCAATGTGGCCGCAGAGTGGAGAGCCACCTTCCACAAAGATGTGGTGGTGGATCTGGTGAGAGAGTGTTTTTTTGTGTCTTTTATATACACTTTTATCATTTATTGTCATGTTTTGGGAGTTTGTGACGTCAGTAAGGCAAATGACTTCTTTCCACTAGGTATGTTATCGCCGAATGGGCCACAACGAGATGGATGAGCCGATGTTCACCCAGCCACTGATGTACAAACAGATCAAGAAGCAGAAAGGAGTTCTTCAGAAATATGCTGAGAAGCTCATCGCCGAAGGTGCCGTCTCACGACAAGAGTATGAGGTCAGTCAGTCCTGCCCAGATCCAAGTAGCTGCCCAGTATCTTCAGCGGTCCATATAAAGTTTTTCTCATCTCTGTCCGTAGGAAGAGATTGCCAAGTATGACAAAATTTGTGAGGAAGCTCATGCTCGCTCAAAAGATGAGAAGATCCTCCACATCAAGCACTGGCTGGACTCCCCCTGGCCAGGTGTGTATGAACATATATATTATTGAATTAAGAATTTCATTGTTTTATTTACTTAAATATTTTTACCTTGATTTCATAATTCAAACACAGATGATTCCTTCACAATAAGATTTATAACATGAATTTACAAAATAAGTTTGAATTTCCATTTTATTCCTACCTTAAGTTATTTATTAAACCTTAAAAAAGGGAAATAATATCTTTACACATTTATCTTTGGTTGCATATTCCTGTCACCATCTGGAAGTGGAAGGTTCAGAATGAGTTGCAATATCATATGTACTAGACTTTGTTGATAGTTGAAAAAACCCAAAATGCCAGCATTTTGTTGCTGCTTCATGTAGATATAAGAGCATATTCATTGTGTTTGGTGTGCAGGTTTTTTTACTCTGGATGGCCAGCCCAAGAGCATGAGCTACCCGTCCACCGGTCTGCCAGAGGAGGATCTGACCAACATCGGACAAGTGGCGTCATCAGTACCCGTAGAGGATTTCACAATTCATGGAGGTTAGACATGTGCTGACATACGGAAATATGATATCTCAATAATGAACATGCGGTATTGTTATCGTGGGCACTTTAAAATACCATGAAGAATTATTTATGAAGAATTATTCAGATTTTTAGAATGGATTTTAATAATACTTTTCCATCAACCGGTTAAAATGTACAATACTGCTTGTATGCTGCGTCAAAGAAGACGCACGCGCACTGATGTAAACAAGCCCAACACGCATGAGCAGCATGGCGGAACGAGTGAAGGAGACGCATTGAATGAAAATGCACATTCACTCTCTGACTGCAAATGGTGCTTATGCAACAGCAGAAATGCAGCCGTTCCCCCGGTAACCACGTAAACAAAGCAGTCCTGCTACTTTGGCCCTGTCCCAGATGGCACACTTCATATGCACTTTTGGTCTTGTGGACTTACAATGGCTGCCGTTTATGGCTGTGACCGTTAAGTCCATGAGACCGTAGGGCAGTGGTCTCAAACTCGCGGGGTGATATTTTGTGGCCCCCTACTTGACATAGTGCGGCCCATCGTTGCATGTGCCGCTTTCTTTTTTCTTTTTTTAATCCCTTATGGGCTACCATAGATAGTCTCGTGACAGCTTACAGTGGGTTTGTTGTCAATAGTTGTCATAGTCAACCGCGAAGTACAAACATACTGCGCCTGGAAAAAATGAGCGCGTCGCTTAAATTATGAGCTTGCCGCGCGCCTACATTTGAAATAACGAACTTGAGCGCGCAAAATATGTGAACGCGATATGTGAACAGGCCCCTTGGCGAGCTACCACCAATCAGGCCACGAGCGACGTGTTGGAGGCCCCTGCTCTAAAACAATGTGAGAATAATCATTTTGAGCTTGTAATATGTGTCCAACAGGTTGATAAGAAGGTTTGCTTTGATTTGTGCAAAGTCAGTAATTTGCCTGAGACACTATACATGTGTAGAAAGAATTCAATAAGACGGGCAGACATGACTGCAAATATTTGTATTTCAAAAGCAATAATTGTTTTTCTAAGTATAATAAAAGGAAATGTGCTTTCCAAAAAAACATTCAATATCATATTGAAAATAAAAAGGACATGAGCAAATATAAGTATCACAAATATGTGTTATAAGGAAAAGAAAAAGAATGTTTGTAAAATGAAGCATCACAAAGATGTTGTGTATAAGGAAAAGACAAAGAAAGTTTGTAAAATGAACTTCAACTGTCAGAAGGACAGCTCATGAAGAACCAATCATGTACAGAAAGGAATGTTCGAATTCAGAGGAACAGTTCAGAAGAAACGTTAATAATAAAGATTGAGAAGATTGGATCAGTTGTGCTCCTTTTTTGGAATACTTGAATACTATTTTTTTGTGGAATACTTGATGCGGCCCAGCCTGACCCAGACTCCACCTCCAGCGGCCCCCAGTTAAGTTGAGTTTGAGACCCCTGCCATAGGGTGTCCCATTTATCATTTTAGGTCTCAGAAGGGTGCTCGCTTTGTGGTCCGATATGCACCCTTGATGCGCACTTTTGCCGAGCCCGCACTGATGCGAGCTCCGCAGCAGACTTCTTCCTGACGGTCAAAGCGGCGTTACGTCACGAAAGTGCGGACCCGTTGGAAGACCGCGAGTGCTTAGGGTGCCATTTGGGACAAAGCCTTTCTATTTCAGTCATTAAGATGTTTGTATTTGCATTGGTGTCCATCACAATGCCAAAAACTTAAAGACTTAATAGGCCATTTATTTTCGAAATTAAACATTTTTACATTTTAATCTGGACTATAACATGTCCTAGATATTGATTTAAATTGTAACACTTTACATTTAAGGCTCTATTAGTTAACATTAGTTCATTTATTAGTTAACATTAATTAACAATAAAATACTTCTAAAGCATTTATTAATCTCAGTTAATGTTAGTTTCAACATTTAATAATATTGAGCTAACAATGATCAGTTGTATTTTTTTAACTAACGTTATCAAAGATTATTACACTGCTCTGTGGAATACTTGATTCTGATTGGTCAATTACGCCGTCCAGCGTTATGTTATTCCCAGATAACAACCGCTGAAAACAGATAACACGGGCTCATCCGGGTTACTGAAGTCAGCAGCTCTATACGCTTGCTAGGAACGTTTTTCCTTCAGGCTGATACAGGATCCCTCTGCTTCGCGTTGGTGTCCTCATCACCCTGTCGGGGGTTTATTCTGAGATAACAACCGGCTGGATGTACATTATCCCTTACATAAAATACTTCTAAAGCATTTATTAATCTCAGTTAATGTTAGTTTCAACATTGAATAGGGCTGCACGATTAATCGAATTTTAATCACGATCACGATTTTGGCTTCCCACGATCAAATTCGCGTGATCGAGCGATATTTTAAATGCGTCATTCAGTTCACAGAAAGCTTTTTTTTTGCCAATCTAGCGCACCGTAAACCAGTGTCTGATCACGTGCCTCCATGAGCCCAGGTGCGCGAGAGAGACCTACGGTCTGCGTGCGAGCGACAGTGCACGAGAGAGACCGCGAGTGTGTCTGCGTGCGAGCAACAGCGCGCGCCTACCGATTGTGTCGCGCGCGAGAGAGACTGAGTGACAGTGCGCGTGAGAGACCGAGTGTGAGCATTAGTAAATTGCATTAGTAAATTGGTACATACTACATATATATATTTACTATTTATACCATGGTCTGGGTGAATACTCGATTCTGATTGGCTGCAGGGTGTCCGTTAAAAAGTGATAGAGGACACCTAAAGTAGTTCTGGTGAAACTGCCTGTTTACCATTCGAAATTAATAAATAAATGCGCTGCCTACAACAGCTGTGTGAGTAACCATAGCAACAGGCAGTCAACGTTAGTTAGATATTACATAGCCTACTATAATGAGCGACTTCGTTCGTTATTTCATCTTCAGTCTCTCACGGACTGACGGAGCCCAGTAAGCCCGCAGACTGCTCTCGCATCGATGGCCTGTCACCGACTTTATTTGACGGCTCTCCAGTCCAGCATCGGAGAGTCGACCTACAGCGGTGCTTCGGAGGCTGTGGTTAGTGTAGACTAGTGTAACACAAAGTGTTTTATGTGCAATAAAAAAATAACTATGCCTACCTTTGTGTTTCATGAAAAAAAAAATGCATTTTTGAACCTGAAGGGTTCTACAAGCTGAGCGGACTATAAATATCTCAAGTTGCTAAATAAATCGTCAGGCAAGTTATTATTTGAAAAAACTAGATTTAGCCTAATTAAAATATAAACTAATGTTTTAAAAATGTTTTATTTGGCAAGTGACCATGGTATAAGCGGGTTAATGCCCTTCGAGGTGACCGTTGTCAGGTTTTAATGGACTTCGGCGGAGGCAGGTTTACACCTCGCCGTCGTCCATTAAAACCTGACAACGGACACCTCGTCGGGCATTAACCCTTACATAAGAGGCATGGAAGTTCGATTAATGGACTCCAATAATCAGTCCTACAAACGTCTTGTTTTGACCTATTGTTTAACAAATAGAAATAATTTGAGCACATAAACTTTCACATGGAGAATTAAATAGATTAAATTAATGCAGTAAGACTTCACAACTAATCACTGACACTGTAGGCCTACCACAACATTTTACATTTATTAAGCGTCAAATAACAATGACTCTGAATTTCATCCATTAATCGAACTTCCATAGTGCAGTTCTGCCTTGAAATGTTCTCATTTGGTTACATTCTGTTATGGAATATTTGTTTTTTTATTGATTGTATATTTTGCGTGTTTTATTCACATCCATTATGCAGGTACAATGCAAGTTTATATTTTGCTTCCTAAAATAGATTTACACAATGCAAAATGTAAAATAGTGCCCTGTTGAAGTTTTGCTACATTTTCTTTATTGTTTTCATTATTCTTTAAGGAGATGCACTGAATTTTGGTGAATAAGAGGACCTATTTTATTTAGATACACATACATTAGCAGAAATGTAGCACAATATGGATGTGAAAGCAGTTATAATTAGCCTATGTGGCAATAAAATTTGTTTTGGTTAAAATCAACAAATAATCGTGATAATTAATCGTGATCGCAATATTGATCAAAATAATCGTGATTATCATTTTGGCCCAAATCGTGCAGCCCTAACATTGAATAATGTGTTGAGCTAACAATGATCAGTTGTATTTTTTTAACCAATGTTATCAAAGAATAATAGCTTCTGCTCATTGTTAATGTTAGTTAATGCATTAACTTACGTTAACTGAGACCTTACTGTAAAGTGTTACCTATTCTTTATCATTCTTTTGCACTTTAATCTGTTTGAAATAGTTGTTTGTTTACTCTGAACATTTAAATAGACAAACTATACACAAAAAATGCAGTTATTTTTGTTATAAGAAAAAAGTTATTAAACCTGTTATAGCAGGGGTTCTCAAAGTTTTGATAGGTGAGGGCCAATTTAGGAACCCAACATTGAACTGAGGGCCGCCAAAGTGGCGGGGGAGAAAACGAAGAAAAAAAAACTGAAAAGAAAACCCCATTTGAAATTATTTTAATGACCAGGTTGCATCTCTACAGTTTACATTAGTTGCAATTAACACATTTTAATTCATAACTGAGGCTAAACCTGGCAAAACTTGTGAAAATTTTGGGGGGGAGAGAAAGAAACTTTTAAAATAGAAGCTTACCAAACAAGTCATCATCATCATGCATTTCTATCATTGCTTGTCAGTCGCGTTTCCATTATTGCAGATTTGCATATTTTTATCTATCTTTTTTAACCCGTAACTGAAAAACGAGAAATGAACGGTTGTTGTCTTTTTAAAACGCAAAGTTGAACAAAATTTTAATTTGAACTGGCTTCACCAACTGCTGCGCAAAAAAGTAAATATCGACAGACTTTTTCAGATTTTTGTTTAAATGACTTTTTGCCCCTTTAAATATTCACAAATTAATATGGAAAACATGTCGATTTTACTGGTTTTCTAAGGCCAAATTAGAACCTGGAATTTATATTTTTCCCGCAGTGATGAATGAGAAGAGCCATATAGCCTGTACGTGTCTGATCTAGCCTGATTTATAGGTGAGTTATAGGCTAATGATAATAAATGCGTCTGAAAAAACAGCGAGGCATTTTAATTGTTTATTAATAAACTATTGTTTTCTAAGTGTCGGCTAAAAACATATCTCCATCTCCGCTGTTAAGCAGATGCGCTTTTAGAGAGAAATCCACCTTTCATACGGATTACATAATCAGGTATTTGCTTTCGATTCGAGTTTGTTTGTTTAAAAGTGCACATTTTAAGCTTTAGCCTACATAGGCTATATTTTGTTTCAGTTCTCGCGCTCCAGTTCACGGAGATCATGAAAGCGCGTAGTAGCCTAGGCTACTGATTGTTTTATTTTATTTTACAAAAGCACGTTTTCTTGTTATGAGTTTACACAAATAAAAGTAGTTGCGAATAATGCATTATTATTTTCTGTATGACCAGAAATGATAGACTAGTTTAAGTTGTTTCCACTGTTGATAGGAAAATGCAAGTGTTCGCGCCCGCGAACATTTTGAAAGGTAATGGAAACGCGGCTATTAATAAGCTTGACATTGTTAAGATTATTATTAAGTCACATTGAATATTGATTAGGCCCTACTTGGTCAACATACCCTTTTAAATTGCAATGGGATTTGTGGTGCTGGTTTCGGTTGGCCACGATTCCTATTCCTGTGTAGACAACCACTGTTCCTGGTGGCCTTGGGAGTGAGGTCAAGTGCGATCGGTCGGTCGGACCATGTAATTACCGCTTATGCCTATGGATGCCGCTAAACACCACTAAACGGAGATATTCATTTTTTCAAAGCAATAGTTTTAACAGTTTTACAGATGTTATCGCGGGCCGCCAGAAATGTTTCGGCGGGCCGCCATTGGCCCGCGGGCCGCACTTTGAGAACCTATGTGTTATAGTATGACAACTTATTTGATACCGTCACATGCCTAATAGAGGTACGCTAGACATACAAAATAGTACATAAATATGCACACATTTCATGTTCTGTTACAAAAATGCTCGTCTTTCCTTTGTGTAAAGGTCTGAGTCGTATTCTAAAGGGCCGTGGTGAAATGATCAAGAACAGGATGGTGGACTGGGCTCTGGGAGAGTACATGGCCTTTGGCTCTCTGCTCAAGGAGGGCATCCATGTGCGTCTCAGTGGCCAAGATGTGGAGAGAGGAACCTTCAGGTATAAACGACAACATTCACAATCATTCAGTATTCAAAATCATTCAATCAATCAAAAATTTTAGAATTACCATAATAATATAATTATTAAATGTAGTTGTGTAGTAACGGCACATTTTTGTGTTTGATAGACCTTTTTATTTTAGCCACCATTTCAAATGCAGCATTATTTTGGATTTCAGCTCAGTGTAAGAGGTTACTGACCTGTTGTTTGTTGCATTTGCAGTCACCGTCATCATGTTCTCCATGATCAAAATGTGGACAAGAGGACTTGCATCCCAATGAACCACATGTCCCCTAACCAAGCCCCGTACACTGTCTGCAACAGCTCTCTGTCCGAGTATGGAGTTCTAGGTATTCAGACGCTCCGTGCATGTTAAATTATCTCTGCAGTTAATGGAAGTTTGAGGACGCTCTTAGAAACTTGTGTTTTCTTTCTTTCCTTCGTCCCTTAGGCTTTGAGTTGGGCTTTGCCATGGCCAGTCCCAATGCTCTGGTTCTGTGGGAGGCCCAGTTTGGAGACTTCCATAACACAGCTCAGTGTATAATAGACCAGTTCATTTGCCCTGGACAAGCTAAATGGGTCCGCCAAAATGGCATCGTCTTACTGCTGCCACATGGCATGGAGGGGATGGTATGGCTGCATTACCCACAATTCTTATCTCCATGCTCCACTCTCTCTCTCTCTCGCTCTCTCTCTCTCTCTCTACACTCACCTGTGTGAGCTGGCTGTAAAGGAGTTTTGTTCCTTCACAGGGTCCAGAGCACTCATCTGCCCGTCCAGAGCGCTTCCTGCAGATGTGCAATGATGACCCTGACTTTAACCCTGTAAGACTGGCTACCTAACATGTCTCTAAGCGTTCAAACACAAAGATTTCATAGACGTTCTCAGAGTCAATATGTACCTTTTATTTCGACTTCAGAAAATCACTGATGACTTTGAGGTGCGTCAGCTGTATGACTGCAACTGGATTGTTGTAAACTGTTCAAATCCTGCCAACTATTTCCACGTGATGAGGAGGCAGATCCTCCTTCCCTTCAGGAAACCTGTGAGTTCAGCTGTCTTGAGAGCATTTGTTCAAAAATTCATCAAATGCATTATTGGTGTTTAAATTAACAATTTGAAATTTTAACTGATTTATTTATTCATTTTCTTTCTTTCTTTTTTTTAGCTTATTATCTTCACCCCCAAATCTCTTCTGCGTCATCCGGAGGCCAAGTCTAGCTTTGACCAGATGCTACCAGGTCAGAAACTGTTCTTTCCATTGCCGCTTTTAGGGGGAAGATTTTAGAGAGAACAGTTGCGCCATTTTGGCATACATAAACAACAAATGAGAAGGAAAGTTTTCATTCGTGGTCAGCCAATATGAATTTTTTTGATGGGTGATACCAATATGAGAGCACGGTGGCCAATGGCCAATAGAAAGTAAATGATCATAAAAAAGAATTGGAGAAAATCCAAGTCCAGGCACTCAGTAGGATGCAAAAGTAAAAAAGCCTTTATTGTTTTAAGGGCTAAAACATTAAAACACCAACGCGTATCGGCCCACTGGCCTTCATCAGGGTGTTGGTAACAAACAGACAGAATCAAGTCATACTTATAATTGCATTGATTTCAGGTGTGCCACTCTGGTGCTTGCAACACAAATTCTCAATATATACACAATATATATATATATATATATATATATATATATATATATTAGGGGTGTGACGAGATCTCGTGCCACGAGATCTCGTGAGACTAAAACATGACGAGATTTCTCGTCGAGTGAAAAGCTGTCTCGCGATATCGCCATGACTGAGCGTGAGGGTGAGATTACAATAGAATATTCCACCGCTACACTCACATTCGCCTAAACTATCGTTTTGCTGTTTTTATAAAAAAATAAAAACCATTATAAAATAATGTAAAAGTCTGCTCTGCTCATCCAGCACGAGTTGCCGTTGCAATCAGTGCAGCACGAATCACAGTTCACTGATCGCGTGAGGATGGCGGAGGATTCGTTGCGCAACATAGACTAACGTCTGATAAATGTATTATTGTAGAATGCGCGCTCAGCACCGCCAGGGACGGACTGGGGCTAAAAAACAGCCCTGGACTTTCTCCCAAACAGGCCCATCATCCAGCCATTCGCCCCTAGCCACTAGGATGTCCTGATACTATGCCACAATACTGTAACCTATATCAGACAAGGTATTCACAGCAAGTAATATCTCAAAAACAATGATGACAATTGGGGTTTTGTTTATTAATGAAGCCTCAGTCTTCAAATAAAAAACAACAAAATGTACAATGCCATTACATCTGCATTGAAAATAAAATACAAATAATGAAATGTCACTGGCTACAGAAACCCTAATTATAAAACATATAGTTACTATATACCAGGGGTCTCCAACCTTTTTGTGTGCGAGGGCTAAAGGGATAAAATAATCTAGAAGGGCTATACTCAAAAATATTTATTATACATATAACATGGTGGTGTTTTTTTACCTTACCTTTACCTTTACTTTTAACTTTAACTTTTTTACTTTTCACCATCATATGCGAAATAATACAATATCTTGATATTCTGGTTCAACGATTCCTGAAATTTTTTTAATATATATATATATATATATTATTCTCTAAAAACCTATTGTAGCATAAACATTTAGTATAAATATTTAATGCAAAATAAATAAATAAACTGCCATAACTTCTAAACAAAAACATTACTGCATTACATTTAATAGCCTACATTTATAGGCCTACATGACTATTAATATAACAGCATTTTTAATATGAATACAGGCACATTTCTGCCAAAAAATTTGTTTTACTAAGTTACAGTTAATTCATAAGTTGTGGAGTGAAATGTCTTCTAACTGGTTTGTTCTTGGAACAATGTTTCACCTGTTTTTTTGCGTCAAGATGTTGAGAATATCAGCGCTTAAATCACAGCCATCTGTGGGTTTATAATAGAGATAGAGAATTCTGCACTGAATTGAAATGCTTCTCAGTGGATCGCGCAACTCTGTGTAATAATGTTCGCATGATCAAGATCAGTCCGCACAGCTGCTTCGGCCGCGATCGCAGTTTTTTTGGGCCGAGCTGATAATGCTCCGCGCTGGCATCCAACTTAAAGGTGCATTGCTGCCACCTACAGTACTGGAGTGTGAAACAGATTAGTGGGGGGAAAAAACAGGTTATGACTGCGGGTGGTGGGCCGGCCCGCCGGCCGTCCTGGAGTACCGGCCGTTCTGTGATACTCCAGATCACACAGATGGCCAGTCCGCCCCTGAGCACCGCTGCTCCCTATACACAGAGTACGCGCGATCACGAAAGTGAAAGTAAAACACAAGCTCCCTGATGTGCATTGCGCACAAATTAGGCCGCGAACATACAATAGTCCGTCTCCTAATACCCATCTCTGGACTGTTTATTTGCGGCTATGGTCTCAGTTTGCACTTCGAATATATTGAGAGAGTACTGTAATGTCTTAAGGACAACAGACAAGAGAGGCTCTGTTTCTGAACTTATAATCGGAACGCAAGAACAACTGTAGAGACAAACACACCAGCCTCGTTTCTCTCTACCCGGCCTTTTCCGAACTCACCGCATTAACCCTTAACCGCCGGTGCAAAATAAAACGGCAATTTGAAAACAATTATAAAGAGTCTGTGTGCTAACTTTGATTATGGTTGCACTTGCACTTATTGTTTGCGCTTAATAAGACTTCAAAAAGGTAGGAGGTCACACACAGCCTCAATCAGAAGTTCTGAAAGCTCTTAAATGTACAGTAAGGGCTGAAGAGACTAATGTGAAATCATACAGAGAAAAGCCAGTCAATAAAAACCTTTTATAGTGCTTGTATATTGTTTTCTTTCAATGCATTTGATAATTCATACTCATAATGCATGTCATTTCAGGTCTACTTTATAAGATTATTAGTTAAACATTGCAAAATGCACCTGCATACTATTTTTCCAGTCATGAATTTTGTCATTGAGGATTTCTGAAAAATTGTGCAAAAATCTCGTCTCGTCTCGTTCTTGTGAACCCAATCTCGTGTCTCGTCTCGTGAGATAAGCGTCTCGTCACACCCCTAATATATATATATATATATATATATATATATATATATATATATATATATATATATATATATATATATATATATATACACAGTGTATATACACTCACCTAAAGGATTATTAGGAACACCATATTAAATACTGTGTTTGACCCCCCTTTCGCCTTCAGAACTGTCTTAATTCTACGTGGCATTGATTCAACAAGGTGCTGAAAGCATTCTTTAGAAATGTTGGCCCATATTGATAGGATAGCATCTTGCAGTTGATGGAGATTTGTGGGATGCACATCCAGGGCACGAAGCTCCCGTTCCACCACATCCCAAAGATGCTCTATTGGGTTGAGATCTGGTGACTGTGGGGGCCATTTTAATACAGTGAACTCATTGTCATGTTCAAGAAACCAATTTGAAATGATTCGAGCTTTGTGACATGGTGCATTATCCTGCTGGAAGTAGCCATCAGAGGATGGGTACATGGTGGCCATAAAGGGATGGACATGGTCAGAAACAATGCTCAGGTAAGCCGTGGCATTTAAACGATGCCCAATTGGCACTAAGGGGCCTAAAGTGTGCCAAGAAAACATCCCCCACACCATTACACCACCACCACCACCAGCCTGCACAGTGGTAACAAGGCATGATGGATCTGATTACGCCAAATTCTGACTCTACCATCTGAATGTCTCAACAGAAATCGAGACTCATCAGACCAGGCAACATTTTTCCAGTCTTCAACTGTCCAATTTTGGTGAGCTCTTGCAAATTGTAGCCTCTTTTTCCTATTTGTAGTGGAGATGAGTGGTACCCGGTGGGGTCTTCTGCTGTTGTAGCCCATCCGCCTCAAGGTTGTGCGTGTTGTGGCTTCACAAATGCTTTGCTGCATATCTCGGTTGTAACGAGTGGTTATTTCAGTCAAAGTTGCTCTTCTATCAGCTTGAATCAGTCGGCCCATTCTCCTCTGACCTCTAGGATCAATAAGGCATTTTCTCCCACAGGACTGCCACATACTGGATGTTTTTCCCTTTTCACACCATTCTTTGTAAACTCTAGAAATGGTTGTGCGTGAAAATCCCAGTAACTGAGCAGATTGTGAAATACTCAGACCGGCCCGTCTTGCACCAAAAACCATGCCACGCTCAAAATTGCTTAAATCACCTTTCTTTCCCATTCTGACATTCAGTTTGGAGTTCAGGAGATTGTCTTGACCAGGACCACACCCCTAAATGCATTGAAGCAATTGCCATGTGATTGGTTGATTAGATAATTGCATTAATGAGAAATCGAACAGGTGTTCCTAATAATCCTTTAGGTGAGTGTGTGTATATATATATATATATATATATATATATTAATGGTGGGCATAGATTAAAATGGCTCATTTGAATTCTGTCGAAGGCATTCAGAATATGTGTGCTACCCAAATAAATAACCTCGCAGGTAGTTTGTAATGGGCAGGGGCGGAGCTAGACTCTCAGTACTGTGGGGGCGGAGCTTCATCATGGGGCCCTCTGCTACCAAGTCATTTTAAAATTAAAACCGTAAAAAAAAAGTAAAATATCTGATGAATGCATATGTAATAATGTGTCACTTGTTGAGCCAAGTAAGCTTATGTTAAATAAAACACAAAGACGATCTCGTTCTTTTCTTTTTAATGCGCCCGATTTATATTTTCTCTCCATTTTCGTATATCTCTACATTATACATTCGCACCTCACTTCACCCGCTGTACTCCTGAGGCAAGTAGGCCTACCTTATACGCTGTTTCGGTCCATTTATGACTCACAAGACGAGCTCCAGTTCACGCGCCGGCGCCTCCGTGTCGTGATTATCTATTGTCTGCTATATTTACTTATTTATTAAATCCAGGCAATTGGTTGATGAAACATTGATTAAAATTAAGATACAATTAATACAAAACGAAATTTACCTTAAGCCTGGTTCACACGGGACGATTTTAAAATTGTCGGCCGATTTTTCAAACCTGAGAGACCCCACACACGGCGATAAAAAATCACAGGTCTAACCGTTTTGGTCGTACAGTGTGTGGTGCGCTGCCACACGGCAAAATCAACACATTACACACAAACTGATTTGACTCCCGAGCATTCCCAGGTCAGACGGAAAATCTTGCAAAATCCCTCGAGATAAACAATCATGGCGGACGAA